GAAAAGAACCCCACTTACCTTTGAAATAATTTTGCTTTTCGAATAATTTGTAGTTAATAATAATGATTGTTGATAAATAGCAATGATCAATATAAAGATTGCATATGAGATAGTACTATTGTATCAATTTTTATCATGTTGAATATACTGAAGTCTTTCACTTTTTTCTTTAGCTATTTTGGTGGAAGACCTTCACATGTAAGTACTTTCAATTCTATGGAACTGTACATGAAAACAAATTATATATTTTATTAATTTTGTATAACACAAATGGACTGCTAGTCTGATTTTAGAACAATTGTTCTCGAATTTTCATTATCTATTTAAGAATCGTTTTCATCGTTGTACAGTGTTTCTTGAGTAAAATACATACCAAGATATTTCGAATCATATATCTCAGAAATTGAATTATAGTTTTCTCGCGCTGTTATCAAATTTAATTCGAATCTTTTAAATTGTTTATATGATCTAAATCAATATTCCCAAATATTTTAATGTTTTTTTTTCTGGTTTTCACGTAGTTTAACTTATTTTATGCGCATATGAATGCATCCTGCTTTTTTTTTGAGAAAAAATCTCCTGAAAAATTTTTCGGGGTAGCACATATTTGTATCAGAATGTAGATTACAGAGTTTTTTGGATGTTTGTCAAGATAAGTTGGGGTGTTTGTGTGGATTTTAAGGAAGATTTCAGATGTTAGTATGTACCTACACCTATATTTTAGTTCGTGTTGCACGTTTCGTGAGAAAATTTTCTGAAGAAAAGTTTTTCGAAGGTAGTACATATTCGTATCAGAATGTAGATTATAGAGTTCTGTGGGTGTTTGTCAAGACAACTTGGAGTGCTTGGGTGGACACTAGGAGCGATCGTGGGTGTTAGTGTTGATGGGGAGGGAAGAGGAGGGATCATTTTTTGGTCTTTGTTGACGGTTTATTTTCTCTGGAAGTCGGACAATATGGGTGTTTGCGAACATAACTCACCAAGATGTGCGTGTTGGTGAAGATGACCCATATCAGTTCTTAGAAAGTTGGGTGTTTGTGCTATTAGCATAAGTTAGTAATACCCAACTTTCTTTATATTAAGAGGTATTTCCAGAGAAAAGTTTATCAGAAAAAGTTATTCGGGGATAGCACTTATTCGGGTCAGAATGTAGATTATAGAGTTCTGTGAGTGTTAGCAAATACAAGTTGTGGTGTTTGTGTTGACTATAAGTGAGATTTTGGGTGTTAGTGGATCAATATCAGAACTTTTGAACTGGTATGATATGTTTCCAGAGAAAAGTTTATTAGAAAAAGTTATTCGGGGATAGCACTTATTCGGGTCAGAATGTAGGTCATTGAGTTCTGTGGGTGTTAGTGAAGACAACTTGGGATGTTTGTGTTGACTATAAGTGAGATTTTGGGTGTTAGTGGATCAATATCAGAACTTTTGAACTGGTATGATATGTTTCCAGAGAAACGTTTATCAGAAAAAGTTATTCGGGGATAGCACTTATTCGGGTCAGAATGTAGAT